GGGTCCAGCCTCCAGTAGTTCGACCTCTCCAAATTCCAGAGAGCAGGAACAGGAACAAGCTCTTAGCAGAGCGTAGTGATTATACCCTGGGGAGTATAGTGATTATAGCAATCCCCAGAGTGTAGTTCTCCAATCCCCCAAACATGAGCCGAAACTTCATGAAGGTACAAGATGATCTGACTCCAATGAGCATTTATTACTCCTTATATGCAAGTTTTCAGGCCAGAGGCACACCCCCTGGACCTGGTGGTAAACTGTGACAAAAAGGACACAAACGAATGGGAACACTAATTAACATAATAACACTCCCACATACACAATGAAATCCCTCCTCTCCATCCTGGAGATAATTGGCTTAAGGCAATGCAGTAAACTCAATTATCTCCAGGTACAGAAAATATCTACATTTTACACTAACAGCAAAAATACTTATTATATTACACAGAACCCCTACATTTAACCTATCCCCAGATAGCTCGGATCTGAGCGCCCAATATAGGTGAACAGCGCTCAGATACCACAAACAGAGTAAATTTGCCAAGGGGTAACGCACAGCAAGGGCTGTTGAGAGACCAAGGAGGGACAAAAGCCGTTAGTTCCAACTGGTTTGGCAGTGTGCCTGGGACAACGCCCTGCTGGAGAAAAATAGACAGGAAACAGGAGAGGGGAAGAGAAACACCTTCCCCCATGGATTCAAATGGGCAGAAACAGTCTTTAGAAGCCAATAAGCCCCAAATAGTCTTTTTAAATGGCAATACACCCCAGGTCCACAGTCATGAGGAAGGAGGCTGGCAATCAAGCTTTAAATTCCATAAGGAATTCCTGGTAATTGTGTGCCACACTCTTATTACTCTCCCATAACGGATTGGCCCAAGCTAAAGCTTTACCTTTTAGTTGGTTCATCAGGTAACCAATTTTAGCTCTATCTGTGGGAAAAGATCCCGGTGAGGCCTCAAAATAAGATTCTATTTGGTTAATGAATCCCCAGCATTCTTGAATATTACTATCAAAATGCAGGGAGGAGATAGGGAGATAGTGGGTGCCTTGTGTACTATAGGTGTAGATACAGCCAGGGCATTATTCACACCCGCATGTGACTGTAAACTCAACATTGAACTAAAGGCAATGCAGGACTAGGAAAAGAAATAAAATTGCACTACAAGGAGAGAAAAAGCAGAGAGCAAATTAATACATGGATAACTTACTGACTGTTGGACCAAAAGATTACAGAGAGATCAGGCAGGTATTCCCCTTACAACACCACAGTGGAAAGGTGAGGTTCCTGGTCAGACCCTGGACATGCTACAAAGAGGGCCAAAGAGCAGCACTTCAATCGCCTTTAAAGTAGACTCTCTAACTAAATGCCCCAGCAGAGTCCATTAGTAAGTGGAGCATCTGGGTAGAGGTGGGGCTTACCTGCCTCAAACACACACCAAACTTTGAAATCCTCAATAATATCTAAAGACAGAAAAATCCTCAAACCAGCAGATGGGGATCCCGCAAAGGTGAAATCAACAACTTGGTAAATGTTCTCCCAATCAGGATTACCATGCAAGCAAAACTGAGGAGCCCTAGCAGTGACTGCCACCTGAACCGAAGGTAGCATTTTCTCTACCTTGTTCAGAGGGATTCCATACAACATCAAAAATGTATGAATCTCAATACCCAAGAATGTCAGCACAAAGCAAACATCCTCAGCCATGACATGATATTTTTCATAACTGACACATGGTGCTTACAGAGACGGGAGGTGGCAGGCCTTACCAATAAAAAAAATCAAGATAGTGTACCAGCGAATTGATGCCCAACACCATGGCCACCACATAATGAAAAAAGGAACATAAAGCTTCAAAATAGGTACATGACAGGGATAAAAATGTCGACTACCTTCAATTTGGCAAGGAATGCACCATGGCATGCACTCTGTATTAGGGTGCAGAACTAAGCTCAGACACTATACTGTATATGTGCAATCAATTAATAGCACTGGGTGTTTTTTAATAAATTGATTTATTTTCTCGCATCACTCACATCACTTTGGTGATTTGGTCTTTTTCTTTGGTGTGTTTTGCTTGGGGTGTTGGTGGTAAATGTATGATCACTGGTGGCACTATAGATATATGGTGTATCTAGTAGCATAAGTTTTTAAAAATGATTATTTATTTCTTTAGCCCTACATATTTACTCTGTTTATATGTCTATTTATGATCTTAGGAGTGCCTGTATTTGAATGACATATTGTTGACCAGTAGTTATATGATATTCTTGTATGTATATATAACCATTAATTGGCTGAGTTGCCCGTTCTTGTTATCACAGCAGTGGCTGAGTTGCCCGTTCTTGTTATCACGGCAGCATATTACACATGCGCTGGTTTAGTAAGTTTGTGCGCATGGGCGGCAAATGTTAGAAGGCGCACGCTTGGCTAATATGTGTGTATATATATATAAATCCAAATAGGTTATGGTGGGGAAAAAATTGTGATTGAAAACCCCTTCCACCTGATGTCTGTGGATAGTTAATACAATGTTAAACAAAAATCTGCACACCAGTCAAGCCAAAATACTTGCTTTTCCCACAGAAATCACAAATCTGCAGTGATGTTACTACCGCAAAGGATTCTGGGTGGGCATATGCATGTGGGGTTTTCAATCACAATTTCCCCCCACCATAACCTGTTTGTATTTGCTTCCCAAGCACTACCAAGCCTCAATAAGCAAACCAGTAACCAACCTCATGCTGATGAGTTGCATTAACAACAAAGCAGCTGTCCATGAGTGGTTTACTGGCTTTGCATCTTTTCCTAAGTTGTGTTTCAAGCTGTTGTATACAGCAAACACAGACTAAAAGGAATCCATGTTTAAATTGGAATGAGGTAAAAATTTGATTTTTTTTAAAGCTCAGACATTATTGCTTTTTATGTACAAACCAACGAACCACTGCATTTGCGCCTACACACTGACCCCTACCGGTCATTTGGTGTACTACAGGCTTCTCAGACATTATTGCATTTCATGTACAAACCAAAGAACCACGGCATTTTCGTCTACATGCTGACCCCTACCGGTCAATCGGTATACTACAGGCTTCTCAGACTTTATTTCACTACATAAGCAAACAAACTAACTACAGCATTTTCGCTTTTATACTGACTCCTATCTGTCAAACGGTATACTACAGGCTTTTCAGACATATGGTTATTCCCCTCATAACATTCCCACTATAATTATAATTACACAATAACACTTCCTTACAACTCATGCTTGCTATGATATAATCATTCCTGCATACCTGCCTATATAGGCATTTAGTTACATTTACTGACAATACGCATACATGTACCCATGAATGCACATACTATTTAAAGCACTATGCAGGATTCCAGAGTCTAATACGGAATATTTGCATGTTTGCACGCTTAAAATATAAGTCCTTCCAATGACGTATTTTCACATATTAGGTTATTCAGCTGCCTGTCATGGTTCACTACACGCATGTTTCGGGGTACAGATGTATTCCATATAACACATGATATAACACTCCCAACAAGTTAATTTCCTTCAAACAGGGGCATTACAAGCATACAATAAACATTGGGACGGAGCACTTTGCTCTATTAAAATTGCATAAATACACATATGGGTATACGCTTTTAAATGTCTATATTTAATTTTCATACATTGCTTGACCCGTCCGGGATACAGGTATTAATAACCCTGACGACCATGAAGGGTATCTAATCATACTACCAGGTACATACACCTTCTCGTGTGGTATTTTTCTGTTTCCCCCTGGGTATATCCTTAGCGTACTGGCAATTAGGGACTATAGGTTTTCCAATAGGTATTCTCCTTTCTTGGCATCTACACCTGTCGTATAGTGGTCCCGCAAAGGCCAACACCCCGCCTCAGCGCTCGGAGGCAAACAGTTTGCTGAGCATGATCCATATTGTAAATAAGCAGAGGGAATCAGCAGACTGAGGTATGAGATCCCTCTCCCTTGTCTGCAATGTAACTATGTAGTACACTTCCTACCAAGATGCCCTTTAATATGTTACATGCCCACTATTAGACCTTACACTCTAATAAGTTTCCAGACATCCCAACTTGCAAAAATGCATTTCAGGGAGGTGGCTTCACCAGCTATGGCAACATCCCCAGATATACACACCGACACACACTGACACACCAATACACACTGACACACAGATACACACACTGACACAAACACTCAGTTACACACTGACATTTACATACAATATGACACACACACTCATATAAACACTGACACACAAACTTTATATATTTTCAGCCACCCTCCTGTTAGCTTACCTTTGTGTCCTTGAGGGTGGCTTGCTTGGTGCTCTGGTCCTGGCTGAGACTGATATTTTCCAAGACCCCCCAAGTATAAAAATGTCTAGGTTGTATACGTGTATAGCGCAGTGGCAAATACTGGGCCCCTGTAAGAATCAAGGCACAATAACCACTATAGCATGCTTTAGTGGGTATGGTGCCAGGAATGCCATGGTGCCCTCCCAGGGTAAGTAGTCAAACTGCTTACGGACAGTTTGACAACATACCTGTGGTCTGCCAGGGTAGAGGGATAGGCATTGGTGTGTGTATATGTGTGTGTGGCGCAATGTCTGTATGTGTGTGTGAGGGGTGCAGTGAGTGTGTGTGTGAGGGGTGCATTGTGTGTCAGGGGTGCATTGTGTTTGTGAAGGATTTAGTGTGTGTGTGCGTGATGGGTGCATTGTGTCTGTGTGGTTGAAGGGTTCTGCGTGTGAGTGATACTGTGTGGGGTATATTGAGGGGTATAGTGTGTGTGTGTGATTGGGCAGTGTGTGTGTATTGAGGCGTACAGTGTGTGTGGGGATGCAGAGAGTGTATAGGGGGCAGTGTGTGTGAGGGGTACAGTGTGTGTGTATGGGGTCAGTGTGTGTGTATGAGAGGTCAGTGTGTGTGTATGGGGGGCAGTGTGTGTATTAGTACTGCCCCCCCTCCCAGGCAAAGGTAAGAAGGGAGGGGGGATAATAAAAAGTAAAATGTAATTAAAAAAATATTTATATTTGTTAATCTACCCTCCAACGCCACAGTGTGTGTATAGTGGCAGTGTGTGTGTATAGGGGATAATTATAGTGGGTCTGTGGCGTTGGAGGGTAGATTAACAAATATAAATATTTTTTTATTTTACTTTTTATTATCCCCCCTCCCTTCTTACCTTTGCCTGGGAGGGGGGGCAGTACTAATCCCTGGTGGTCCGATGGAGAAGCCCTAGTGGTCAGGTCGTGAGGGTGAACTCTAACAGCCTCAGGAGCTGGTAGAGTTCACTCTCGCAAGATTCGGAGTGCAGAACCCGGCGGAGCTGCAGGTTAGAGCTCCCCTGGGTCCTCTCTCCCTCCCTCTCCTGTCGGCTGCAGCATTACACTGCTAGCAGGATGGTGAGGGAGATCTCTGATCACCCCTCCTGTCCTGCAGAGCCGCAGGGGAGAGCAAGGCACAGTTCTTGTTGCTATGATCATTGCACCACTGGCACCCCTTGGTGGGCACACAGTTTGTGAACCGCTGTGTTAACCTATTACCCTCTCCTTACAAGTACTCATCTCCACAACTACCCATTTGTATATTTCTCCATTCCACACAAATTTTTGAACTCTCCTACTTGTATCTATCTCTTCATACCGCAAATTTTTCCAATGTGTCTCTGCCCATATGAAACAAAGAGCAGCGTACCTCAGGGGAAACTGGGAAAGTATGGACAATATCTATAATAAGTCACAAATGGGATGCCATTTGTACCATTCCTAGACTCGGTACCAAAATGATTAAAAAAAAGGAAAAACAAATAGGCTGAACTTGATGGACGCAAGTCTCTTTTCAGCTATGTAACTATGTAAACTATGTAAAATTTTATGCACAATAAATAAAAAATGCTGGTGCATAAGAGGTGCTCAAAGTGCTAATGTACACAACCAAAAGGTGCAGTAATTGCAAGTATATAGTGGATTGACAGAAGAGAGGAAAAAGTCTAATTATAATTAGTCATCAATGTACACAACACGTATAAATCCGAATACAAATAGCGTGTATGGAGTAAACTATAGGTAGCTAACACGTTGTGTGCTGTTCTCCTAAGTACTGCGATATAATAATGGCATAAGAATGATATCAAAGATAAAATTAGAAGCCCTATTAAGTAAAGGTAAGACACATCTGAAGGAATATTAGCTATATTAAGCGAAATACCAAGGAAGAGTTAGGTATGAAGTATAGATAGCAAGCAATCACATAAATAAGTTAACCCCTAAGTTACTACTGGGGAACCAGATGCGAACCTTACTGTTAGAGTCTCTGCCTATACTCCTGCTTTTCCCATGTGTGTCTCTCTGCCTGTCACACCATTTCATCACTTGCATCCCTTTGTCCATAACCTCTTTCTCCCACTTGTACCCCACTGCCCATATTCATTTTCCCTTCCTGTGTTCTTGCTTCCCTTGGATTTCCCTTGTTTTTCAACAAGTAGAGTTAATCCATTTTCAAAAGTGCATGTGAACCTGTTGATTTTTTCAAGTAAAACTAGGAAGAAAGTCACATTTCTGATGAAATACTTGTGGTGACCAATGTAATGAAATTTAAGTAATTAGGAACTACAAAAGAGAATGCAATAGTTGTACAAAGGAAACAGATGGTTTATTCTGACCAACAAAGTTATGTGGTAAATTAATCTATACATGTCTTTATCAGTTATGTGAGTAAATATTTATGCATGTGATTGTTGTATTTAATGTGTCTTATACATGTATGTCTGTGAATTCATTATTTTATTTTAGGTGTAGAAAAACATTTCAAAATATTTTGGTTGAATCTGCTAATAAACAGCATCCAAAGCCATCATGTCGGCCATGTCCTTAATGCAAAAGACTTTGTAAAAGTCCGTTGCCGTCACTATTTCTCACTCTGCTCAAGAAATTTAAATCAAGGTCCTTCCATCCTGTCAGACCTTTCTTTTGTCAGTCAAAGATTTAACCACACAATTGGAAAAAAAACTTTAAAAAAAAATCTGGGAAAGCCACCCAGAAACATAATTATTATTCAAATTATATTTTCCATCTACCAAACATTTAAATATACGCCATAACTAGTCTTTTAACAACTATACCTCATTTTATATTAATCGCCTAAAGTTATAATGCCTTATTAAGTGTTCTTGCATAGCAAGACCACTTAATGTTATCTCACATATATATTATTATTAAGTGTTCTTGCATAGCAAGACCACTTAATGTTATCTCACATATATATTATTATTATTATTATTATTATTAAGTGTTCTTGCATAGC